AGAGAACATTGTGTGCTGAACATTTGCAATGATTTCTTGGTAAGGACGAGATCCTAAAACATTCAAAATAGTCTGTTACTTTACTCACTTAGTACAACAGCATACCACAAAATATTACTAAAAGCTTAATAAAAAAAAAAAAAAAAAGAATCACTGGTCCTAATAAATTTAGGAGGAAGAGTTAAGAAGTTGGTTCAGTGTCACCCTTAAAACAGAGTTTCCAAAGACAAGCTTCACCAAATAAAGCTCACCTTCTATTGAAGTATAGTTAAGATGCAACTAACTTTATGGCTCCTGCATTTTGCTCATATCTTCTTGCATAGTTACAAAGCCTATTCCCACCAACTCTACAGAGATGCAGGGGGAGGGGGAAAGTTTAGAGGGTCAGTGGTATTGTTCTTTTAACCCTTCAACTCCTTGAAGTGATTAAAATGTAACTTCTCCCAACAATACTCATACAATATCTAAGAAACAGGTAATGAGAATACTAAAAAACTATCCAGGTAGAAGCTGCTACCTTGATTAACATCTAGTTCTTGTAACTATTTTATAAGGAAATGTGTAGCAGCTAAAGGGGAGAATTAACAATCAGATCTTGAGAGTGAAAGGGTTAAAAGGAAAAATTCTTCAGTGGGTAGGAATCTTCAAAAAATAATTCAAACTTTAAAATACAGTCAAATAACTGCATTTCCAATAACACTTACTGCCATCATCCCCAACATAACATGCTGGCCTGGGTGGTGTTAAATTGTTATTGTACAGGTATTCATTCTCTTGAGGTGGGCGTGTTTCTTTCAAATCTAGACGACAGAATATGTTAAAAAACCTGTCAATTAATGACTGGCTTTGTTGAATGACACCTTAAAACTAGATCACTCTCATTTACATGTGTATATTAGTGTGTGAATTTTTTAGAGCAGTATAAAAAATTCGACAGTACTTAATGTAGTTGTGCGGTCTTAATATATATTCTGCCTGAAGAAAACATTCAAAATCACAACTTTAAGGCTGAGTTGACAAACTAATTTCCCACATCAACAAAATGCTTTTAATGGCTACCTCCCATCTTTCTTAACGAGGTTAACAAACTCTTTGCTGCTCATCAAAAAAACTGAATGGCATAAATAAAAAACAAAATGACAATTACTTGTCAAAAAACTCTTGCTTTTGCAAAGTGTGATTAACTTATAATAATATAATAATAACAATAATAATTCATGATCATAGCTTATAACTTATTTAGTATCATCTGAAGTAAATACCATGAAGGTAAAATTAGTCTTGCGTGTACAGTGAGACATTAAGTAATGTTCTGTTAGGGCTGTTATGTAATATCAGTAACATATATATAGTGTTATAAATAAAAAGCACTATTTGCTTGTCTTTGAATATAAATATAAATATTCTCTTAAATTCAATCAAGAGCAAAATTAACAAACCTCCAGTGGAATATGCTCCAAATAAGTTACCACCAATAGGAAAAGGTGCTTCAGGAGGGAGAGCGACATGCGTGGGCTGGTAATCTTTTCCGCTTGGATACTGTGATAACTCTAGAGTAAATAATATCAGTTGATTTGTTTTAAATGGAACTATTTGTTATTAGATTTATTAAATAACTGCCTCCAGCAGAAGGTAATATCACATCAACACTGTCCTAATTAGCTACCCAAGTCCCCCTTCTTCACTTGGGAATGCCAATCTTGACTCCATAAAAAGAAAAGTTCATGTCCCCAGGACTTCCCCAGAAGTCCCCTCACCATTGTTTCAAACTCAATTCCTTGAACCCTGTAGTTAGATGAGACTGGCATTTTAAATAGGGCCTTACATTCATCAACAGTTTGCTATGTTCTGACATTTTTTCAGGCTTGTTCTTTCATTACCAATCTGCCAATACTCACTGTAAGTTTGAACAATTTTTCCCTTTGTCATCATAATAAACAAACTGTTGGTGGTCTTCTCTGATTAGATAGAGCTGTTTTAATCAACAGCTGGATGGTTTATTCTTTTGTTACCAATCTGCTGAGACCCACTGAAAGTTTGAACAATTTACTCCCATGTCATCAAAACAAACAAACTGCTGGTGGTCTGCTTTGATAGGATAGAGATGTTTGGTTTTTTTCTATGTTGATATCAAGAATAAGTTAGTTGATAAGTGAAGGTATAAATTATGGTTTGTCTATTTTTAAAATTGTTTGAATGATATTCACTGTTCTCCAAATTATATATATTTACCATAACTATACATATTGATTTTTGACTGCAGGTTTTTGTAATAATTTCTGTCACAAGGTCTGAAATACTGAGCCTAAAAGTAAATTTTTGACCCCATCTTACAGCCTGTTATTTTTGAAATTTTACAAACTAAATGTACCCAGACTGCAGGTGATGTTTGTACTGTTTTGAGTCCTTTACCACCAAGCACTTGCACCCACATTAGTGATATTACTGTATGACTAATAATAATAATAATTTAAAAGTACTGTAATCAGGTATGATGATTGTACTAGCTTTATAGATTGCTGATTGTTAAATGAAGACAGAGTATAGAAAGGAATGGAAGAGTGAGTGTCTCCTGACTGACCACTAAACGAATGCACCACAATGTTTGTTTCTTAAGTGCACAAACTGCGGTATATAACCCATACCAGCAATGATTGACGAGAGCACCAAATAAATAAAACAGCCAGGTCACTGGGAAAGAGGTTAGACGCACATTAGAAACAAACATCATCTGCAGCCTGGAAGACCAGTAACATGCCAATCAAGTGATTCAATGGGGGAGGGGAGGTGAGATCAACTGCCATTATGAGGAGACCCTTGACATCAGAAGGGAATCCAAGGAGGCTTTTCATATCCCACACCAATGTCGATTGTAATACAGAGTTAAGGACTATGAACTGTTGAAGACTGTGAGACAAGATCAAAAATCAAGAGGCTGCAAAAAATAATGAGTGGGAAACTACAACTTCCTTACTTATTTGTTCACCCCTTCTCTTAACCCTTTACCTCCTAAGAGTGACCAAGACAGAATTTTTCCTGACAATATCCATACAAAATCAGGCACACAAGTGATGAGAATAAGGAAAAATATCAATTAGGGGTTTATCATTTGATCATTTATCATTTGATCAATTACAAATTCTTATAACTAAAATTAAAGGAAATGTATGGAAGACAGTTTGGAGAATTACTTTATAAATCTTGGGAGTGAAAGGATTAAGAAAGATAATTTCGTCTACTGAGCCACCGTACCTTAATCGTTGAGAAATGTTTTTTTCACATGAATGCTGCTATGAGCTTACTTAAAGATTGAAACGTTCGCTATTGTAAACTAGTCGATCTTTTAGCGGAAATGGATGTGTACGCAAACAACTGAAGGTCAAGGCTCGAAAAGAAATCAATCAGGAGGTGTTTCTAAAGAAAAATTTCGTTTCAAGGCGATGACAATTTCCAGGAGAGAATTGAAGAAGCTGTTTGTATACAAACGGACGCAATCGAATGGAACCAAAAGGTTACATTCTTTCTACTGATCGAACGAAGCATCAAAAGCAATTGAGTAAAAAATAAAAGAGAGACAATTCAGTTATGCTCACGAAGTTTTATGTCCACGACTGGCTTTTTTTCATTTTCGTAATAGCTTCATACATGCCCATGCAGATCATATTAATAAATGCAAATTTACTGATTCTGGGCATGTTTCTGAGAAAACGCTCAAGCTATTTGATTAGATCTACCTGTAAATTCGACGGGTCTGAGAATGTTAACAGCATCGTCTCTTCCCATGCTTTTTAGAAGTTCAATCAGATGTGTAACTGTTTTGACTTCTCCATTTCTTTCCGAAGACATCCACCATTCGTACAACAGGGACACCGTCGGGTTCTTTTGTCGCTCAAAATTCCTCACGCTTTCGTAGTTATAATTCATTTTCCCAGCAAGATATCTGAAATCTTTCATTGGATGTCTGGGATTTAGTTTCATACCAAGCTGTTCCAGTATATCCATGCTCAAACAATTCACAAGTGTACTGACTCGCTTCATCTTCTCGGAAGCCATGTTTTCTTCTCCTGAGTAGGGTAGGGTAGGGGCGTGCCTTTCGAGCGTCGAATACGTCAAACAGCACCCCGCTGGTCCGATACTGATAAACAAGCTCCATAAAAGCACCCTTCTCCCCTCCCACTATGAATTGCACTCGCATGCCAATCTTATTGGCTTTGCTACTCGCCGTCTATTCCGCCAGAGACAGTGAGTAAATTAAGTAGCTCAACAATTTGGGGTTGTAAACAAGTTAAAATAGAAGCATGTGGCTCTCCAATGATGAGTTTTTGAACGATCATTGGACTATTGAGCGACTAGTGGGGTTTGCCGCTGGTGCTGTAACAATATTAAGAGCCTTGTACTCCGTTACAAAGTAGATATATTCCTATCATGCTTTAACCTCATCCTCACAGTAAAAGAAGCAACGTCTTTTTGTGACTTGTATTTTACAATTCTAACTTAAATTTATTTACATAGAATATATTAAAGTTCACACGACAACCAGGTGGACAATCAGACATGGTTTGATGCTATTCTGGTTTACAGATTTAATGAATGTAACCGAAGAAGTTACAATTCATAGACCCAACGTTTCGACACTCCTGTCTAGTGTCTTCATCAGGGGTGATCTAAACGCTGCAACAAGAGGTCCTTTTATATGATAACTAATTAGCGAACTTTTTTTCTGACGAGGTGTAAATAGGCGTCAGGAAGCAAACCGCCATAGTCACGATTTAAAGGAGCGTGGACGGGGTTAATATGCCAAGCCTCCAAACAAAGGTGCTGATGGTCACGCCGATAAGTGGTGATAATTTTAGAATTATCCCACCCAATTGTATGGTTAGTTAGGCATGTGTGCTCCGATAAAGCAAAAAGAGCACCAAAAAGCGGTTTTCCTTTGCAAAAAGGAAAATTCAGCTTTATCGGAGCACACACTGTAAACCAGAGTAGCATCAAACCATGTCTCATTTACATAGCTTTTTTGTTCTTTTTTTTAACCATAAAAATCTAAACTTTTATTTCGTTAACACACTTTAGGTGAAGGCTAAAAACTCTCTCGGTGCCATAGGGATATTCTTATGTTTGCCTTCATATTTACGCGCAAATGTAAGTCTTTCCTAACAGACCTAGAGCAAGCGCATAAATCAAATCTTCCAAAATTTTCACATTTTTCTTTTTTAACACAATTTGATCAGCGCCAAAATTTCTCTCTCTCTCAATTACAGTGAGCTCTCTCTTGGGTAACCGCCTTTGGTGCCGGAAAAGCAAAACTAGTCTCAAATTTTGCGAAAGATCACAGCGATTTAAAAAGTTGAAGGACTTGTCTGGGCGGGAGACAACACGGCAAGAGGGATTTGTGATAATGACCTGTTGCAGACACTTTGTTATAACTTTTTACTTATTGTCTTTTCCTTTACGCTTTGATTTCCTTTGTTCCGACATATCATCAAGTCTTTTGTCCAATTTTCTCTGTAGCTGCGCTTTACGAGTCACGTCCAAAGCTTTTGGTTTCCCCGCCTTTGGCTTGCTAGCTTGTTGTCTAGCTCTCAATTTTGCCGCTTCACCACAACCATGAACCTCGGGGATATGATGAGACAAGCAGAACGTACCATCACAACATTTACACAACTGTCCAAGAGTTCTAATACTTTTTTTGCAGCCGTCGAAGCCACATTGTGTGTCTAATTTGGTAAAAGAAGCCAATAGTTTGTCAAAGTCTTCTTCTGGTTGTAACGCTGACAAGGATTTGGTTTTAAGTTTTGTCTTCTGCGGCTTCGCACTTGGCGGAGCCGACATCTCCTGATTCCTTTCTGCTCTGTTTGTTTCGGCCAGTTTAGATCTCTGCATCTGGTCGCAGCGAAGTGAGTGTAGCTGGAGATTACAGGCTGGGACTCGTTTCTTGCAAAAGGAACATGTGCTCAAAAGGTCGGAATCATCTTCTTCGTCTACAAAAGACGGAGAAATATTAGAATCTGAACATTCTAACTCCACGGCTCCTGCGGTGAGCCATTAAGGGTCTGGAGAAAGTCGTTGTTTGTCTCTAAATCTTTTCCCGCCTCATACCCGCTAAGGCAAAATATTGCCGTGAAACACGTTCAGTAGTTTAAAAAACGCGAAAAAGAACTTGACACGGAGACTGGTTCTGGAAAATAAATGTGACGCGTCCATTTTCTAAGGGAGTTTCCATGAAAATGATAAATTCTGCTTGAAAAGCCGTATCCTGATTAAACTCTGCACAAATTCTGGGGAAATTGGAAAATCCCGCCCTATTCGTGAGCACGGTGTCTGCTGCTACAATCAATGCACTCTGCTCGAAATTTGGTGGCAAAATTAATACAAGCCTCACAAACAAAATCAGCAATGTAAGGTACATTTTTCTTTGGCGTCAAAAGTATCCCAGAAATACCTTGGATGTGTTTCACTTGGTTCATTCTATCTCAGCCAATTAGAAGCAAAAATAAAACTGACCAATCGCGAGCTGGTCATTCGCGTTTACTCGCGCTTCTAGCAGTTTACTTATGCCTACAATGCGCTTTAATCGGCTATTTTAATCAATTTAGTCTTGGTTAGCGACCCTTCATCGAAAAGTAGCCTGTGAAAAATTCTGATTTGCAATCGCTTAAGTTGAAATTTTCGCACGAATTTAACCACCAATCAGAAACCTCGCATTGATTTCCAGACGTGGATTTTTGAGAGTGTGTCAAAGTTTCCCGCAGTGCATTGCAAAACTACTATCGCATAAACACACTTATTTAATTTAAACTTGTCAAATAAAGTTGGCAAAAGGATGGGTAAAAACAAACCTTTTGAAGCTGATATTACTTTTCTAACCACGATATACCTCTCCTTTCCCTCTCCATGGCTTTCATGACAGAGAGACAACTTCTCTGCAATACTGTGAACATCAAACCTCTGTTGTGAGCTCAGCGACTTCGGGAAAATCAACTCCTTCTTCGTAGCATCCTGAGTGAAAGCTACAATTTCTTTTTCAACATTTTCACGGCTGTAATTCGTAACCGCACTACTGATATTTTTACTTTTTTCTTGCTTCATTTTTTTTACATTCTTTCCAGAAATTTGTTCGTTGTTTTCTTCGGTAAGATTGGATGCTTTATCAGAAACAACCGATGAAACATCTTTTTTCTCCTCAGCTCCGCTGAATTCTAATTTCCTTGTGCCCTCTCCGCTTTCAGAATTATCTTTTGATTTCAAGTTCTTTTCTCCTTTTACATCTCGTTCTTTAGAATCGGGTCTTGTTTCTCCTGTGCCCTTTTTTTTCCATTCATTACCTGTCATTTCGGACATGGAAACTTCGTCCTGCTCGTACGTGTAACAGTTAACACTAGTTGGAAGTGAATCCTGGAGATATTCATGAGCCGATCGCACCTCTCCTTCGCTGCTCATGTACTCCACTAGGGATTTTAGAAAGTTATCATGATTGACAGTCTCGGAATCAGCAACAACAGCCAGATGGCGACGAGCTCGAGTAATTGCAACGTTAATTCGTCTGTGTTCGGCGAGAAAACCAACTTCACCTGAAAGAAAAAAAAAGATCGATGTTTTGTACACAGTGACAGCAAGTTTCAGGACAATGTGGGATGATAAGCTTAGATTCAGGATTATCTAAAAAATTTTTAAAAGAGAATGGTTACAAAAAGAGAACTAAAAAAACCAAAACTAACAAAAAAAACAGGCAAACAAACAAAAAAGAAAGGGTTGGTTTACTTTACTTTTAAAAATAAACCGTCGTGTAGTTATAATCAAATCAATTTAATGCCTTACATATATGGCCCTATTGTATCCAAAGGGGACTAAAAGTCACTTCGTTATTGCGTAAATGCAAAATTTAAAGGCTCAAGTTTTGTGGGGCTTTATCGAAGTGCAGGGAAAGCCGGAAAAAACCCATAAAACTAAATAATATTGACACAAAACTTGAATTAACTTGATCGTAAGTCGAGCAAATTTGACAAAGGCTGAAGTATGTTACCCTTTTTGTTCGAACGAACCAGTGATATAACAACAGCTTCCTTCTCTCTTCCTTGAAAACCATCCACAGATTTGATTTCCAACGCTGGATACTTGGAAGAGAGACGCAATCTGAGTAGCTCCACCTTAAAAGTATTGGGCAAAGAGAAAAATGAATAAAAGAAATTTAAAAGAAAAAATATTTAAAGTAAAAATTTTAACTTCGCTCTGTGATTTGTCCTGAAAACTTGCGCTACTCTCTCCTTCAATCAGATGTAAAAACCAAAAACTAACGTCGGCTCATTCCCTTGCTATTTCTGGTGCTTCAGGAAGCCCTGGCACTGATGTATGTGCTTCAGGAAGCCCTGGCATTGGTAAGCCCCCACCCTCCCTCTCCCAAGCTTATCTGAGTCTTTGAATAAAGGGGTAAGTTTCTAAAGAAACTGTGGTGCTGCGTCGGTGGGAGAGCATAGCAGGTAATTTAGTGTTAACAACTGGGTTGAAAACGTAAATTAGCCACCGTAAAGGGTAAAAAAAGCTGACGTTTCGGTCGTTAGCCCTTCGCCGTTAGCCCTTCGTCAATCGCTCTGACGAAGGGCTAACGCTCGAAACGTCAGCTTTTTTACCCTTTACGGTAGCTAATTTACGTTATCTGAGTCTTTGATAGTTTGTAGTTACCAAGGTAACCCTTCAACAAAAATAGACGTGTCAGATCTAAGTTATCTGTTCAATATACCTGTAAGTTGTAAGGTGCAATGACGGCGATGTCATTAGGCTGGAGCCCAGCCGTCATAAGCGCCATGACATGCGCAGCGACAATGTCAGCCTCGCCTTCATTCCCTTTTGACACTTCATCTTCCACCTCCTTTTCTCTGACGTCACATCCCGCGGTGTCAATCAAAAGAAGTGGAATTGACGTCTCGTCTGTTTCTTGAACTCCAGGAAGATCTTTTAAAAGATGTGAATTCACAGAGCTGTCTGCGTTAAGTCGACCATCGTACAGTTTTTCAGACGACCACTTCATAATCGCCTCATTCATTCTGTAACAAAATTAACATGTTTTGTTTTACGTTTGATAACTCAAGATTTATTAGTCCCGAGAAAACGATAGAGAAAACTGTCGATTTCCGCCAGGATTCGAAACCAAGTTCCTTCTGCCCGTTGTTCTCTCCACCACTCAGCACCAGAGTAAAACCGTCGGGGTGAGGGGGGGGGGGGGGGGGGGGGGGGGGGGGGGGGGAAGAAGGGGTACGGGTATGTTCAGGTCTAGAAACTTGCTAAAACATTTATTCCACCTTCACAGCACAAATTACACAGGATGTGGATTGGGATTTGTTAATGAGATTTCACCCTTGAAGTTCAAGATTTGAAGCCGTTACGACCAAGAAAAATACATGATTGTAACAAAAAAAGAAATGATGCCTTCTTTTTCATTTGAAGGAAAACTTCAATGACTAGGATTGCGTGGCACTCGAGAACACGGAGCGAACAAGGAGCGTTTCGCTTGTTTAAAGATAAATAATTTCCACTTTCCAAGTGCAATAATTACAATGTTACAAACCTGTACTGCGTTGTTAACATGCGCACGGCTCCATCTCCCAGCATTTTTATGAGCCTCTCCATTAAAGTGACATCTAACCCTTGTTTGGCCGCTTTCTTGGATAATATTGTGGGAGGTAACTGAAGATGATCACCTGCAAGAACACACCTGAGCAAAAGAAAACAAACGCAAAGATACAATTAAACTTGCGCAAATAATACACTTACCCCAAGAGACTACCTTACTCGCTTAACACAATTCAGTAAACTTCGATTGTGGTCGGTTCAGTGCGCAGTTTTTAAGGTGAATGAAATTCATGGCAGAAACATAAAATATGCAGCTAACGGTCTTATTACCCTTCAACAATGCGATCTAATTATAGCAATACTAGTTTAAATTTCCTAACACCTAAAATATGTAATTCTGTCACAATTCACATTTGCTTCTTTTTCACAATTCAAATTATGTCTAACATTTGATCTGTAGCTCTATTAATGATACTCTCCATTAGGTGGGTGAATCTCAATTCGCCATCATAAATGTACTGGGTTTCCTGTGGTGTTTGCTTACCTTGACGCCCGTAATAAAGGTATCCAGCAGCCAGCCTCAAGAGATTGCGCAGCCTCATCAATAACAACCAAATCAAAGTGGTCTTGCTTGACAAGTTTAAGGGGACCATCAGATGACGCACTAGTATTGGTTGCCAGGACAACATCAGCGCTGGTAAGAATTTCTGTGACAGCTTTATCCTCTCTTTGCTTCAGCTCTCCTCGTAGAGATTTTATTTCTTGTTTGAGGTGCTTCTTTTCTGATTGACTCCTTGATTTTCTTACTTTTGACTGATGACAGCAGGGAACCAAAAGAAAAAAGGAATAAAAACTTCCATCAAGCTCTCAAATTTACTAACTGAAAAGTAAATAAGCTCAAAAATTGCTCTGGACTTCTATGGAATTCACAGAGACCCTTGCTCATAGGAAGCCATGTTGCTGGGAAAGCAAATGATTTGCAATGATCATTCTTTTCATACATCTTTCATTAAATCCATTAAGTATTTATGAATTCTGTTAAAGCAACAAGCTTTTCTATATCTAACTGCCTTGATCTTCCTCAAAACCAAGACAAGTTGCAACAGAAGCAGAGCTTCTTATGAGAAATTCTGTCTATATTCCAAACACAGTTTGTGAGGAAAAGCATAAGCCTGGGGCAAGCAAGTTGCTGAACATCCTGGAAACCCCATTCAAAGAAAATAATAGAGTGGGAAGAAAACAAAATGGTTGTTTATGTTAAGCACAAAAGTATACTTGAAATCTAATCAAATTAACTATCGCGTTACACCAAATCTCCCTCTGGCATGTTTATTTTCCCCTAAGTCTTCATGGATAGGGGGGACTAAGGAGAGCATAAATTTTTCCCAGACCCTAGCTGATTTTTGCTCATCTCCTTTGCCTGAAGGACCAGCACAGGCTATTAATAATTGTCCATACCAGTGTATCATCAATGTCTTTTCTGACATCTTGCACAATGGCTGTTCCTTCAGAAGTAGACAGCAAAGCATCTAAGGAATGATCCTGAACAACACTCAGCAGTCGAGCAGGGTGACCAATCCTCACAACCTGAAACACAGTAATCAAATACAATTACAAGAAAAGAACTTCAGTTTGTATTCAGGAGTCAGTCAGTCAAATTTGTTGGTTACCCTGCATAGCTTTGCCAGCTATCTGATCATAGGAAGTTAATGTTCATGTTATGAAAAGTATTTGAAATTGAAGTGAATTGAGAGAGAAATTCCTTTGTCAGGACATTTCAATCAAAAAAAAATTTAGATATGTCTGCCAGACATGAATTCACATTTAATTTTTTTGGTGTCATAAAAATTTTCTGAATAGTTACTTTAAATTAGTAATTAAAACATTACCTTAACTTTGCCTTTAATCAATTTTTCAACCATGTTGTCAACAGCAACATTTGAAGGCGCACAAGCTAATACCTTGAAGGAAATTGAGCCATGAGATACATATGATGACCTGAGGCAAAATTTTTTTTTTTTTTTTTAAATGGATTAAGTACAGCAATCTTCACTTAACACTACAAGTATTTTAAAGCATTTGCAACAGTTGAAGTGTAGCCATTGTTAGTATAAGATTGAAAAAATATGGGAATTGTGAGAAGACAAGATCAACTAGCTGGGAGGAGTAGGAAAAGGGATAGTGACAGACCCCTCCATGGAGACAGAGAAGGAGCAGTCCTAGGCTTATAAACTTCACCAAACTCTGGGGAACTCTCTTGCTTAATGACTCACTTATAAAATAATTAAAAATTTTATTCTATTGTACTGACATATCCAACCTACACTTAACCTTTTAACTCCCAATACCTGATTAAGTTACATGTTAATCATGTTACCTGTAATCATTTCTGGTAGTTAAAAGATTAAGGTTACTCTTTAAAAGGTTTAACTCCTTAACTGCTAACTCCAATGAGAAGTCCTTTGTCAATACAAATGGATTAAATATTTTTCAAAATTGTAACTTCCTTTAAGTTTTAGTGGCCAGTTTATTTTACATCTCCAGTGCCAGAGATTTGACTGTTACTCTCAAATTTTTGACATACTGAGTATGTCATCTGGGCACACAATATCCAAATTGTGTCACATACACAGTACATCTAGCAGGCAATAAAGGGGTTGAGAGATAGGTTTCACCCTTTATGAATCACTAATCTAAAGAAGTCCCGTGTACTTTAAATCTCTCGCTCTTAAAGTTTAGGGACAAAAATCAACAAAACATCTTAAATCTTCATCTACCTTCATGTTAAGATTTTTCACAGCCTGAGTGATAATCTCAACAACAGTTGTAGTTTTCCCAGTCCCAGGTGGACCATGAATTATGGCCACTTCTCTCTGACACAATGCAAACCTAACTGCTTGCCTCTGTGAATCATCAAGACTTTGATTGAAGAAGATGCATGGCATCTCTCCTCCTTCTGTGAAGGGTCTGATTTGTAACGGAGGTCCAGGAGGTACATTCCCAAACAGTACATCAATCAAATGAGCAGCTGGCCCCTCTCTGTACTTTGTTAAGGTGTCAAGGGCACTAAAGTGGTAAAGAAGGAAATTAACTTTGCTCAACTTGAGTTGTTAGTTCTATGCCATGATAAACTTGTCCACTCATGGTTAAGATGTTCTCTTCTGACTAGCCACAGTCAGATAATGCTTTAAAAATTTGAAGACAGGTATAATGATTGCAGAAGGTTATTAATTTTGCCTTGGATGTTTGGTATTTTGTTGGTGAGAGGGTGGAGAGGCAGAGAGGTAAGGAAAGAAGAGGGAATTGTCCTGTGTCACACAGTTAATTGTGAGAGAGGAAGAAATACGATAAACCCAAAATTTTAAGAGGGCACACAGTTTTTAACAGTTTTCTTGAGAGTGTATTGTGATTTTTGCCAAAATGACCACAAATCAGCTAAGAAAAAAATTATGACTAAAATCTTACATCATATCACAGTACCACACACAACATAAAAAGGTAAAATAATTAAAAAAACCAACAATAACAAAAACAAATAACAAAATGAACCTCACCAGTGAAATACAATTGAAATAATAATATTCTACAGATAATAAGGCAGAAAAAATTAACTGGTTTGACTGGGTTTTAACTCAATCCTCACGGGCATTAGTTGGATACTACTTCCATCTAAGCTAAAAGCTACATGTTTAGAACAAGGCAAATATTAGAGGGTTGTTTGTTCCCTGTTAAGAAATCACATTCCTAAGCAATTTCTTTTATTGAACTTCACCTGTGAAGATCATTTTATAACTTGTAAAGTTTACATGACATAGTGAGTGCAGCTGGTGGCAAAGTCTGGCCTCTAATCTCAGATGAAGACTGTTAACCCTTTCACTCCCAAGATCTCATTAGTAATTCTCCTTACTGTCTGCTACACAATTCTTATGATGTTATTTCAGATAATTTGGTATTGGATCCACTTATAATCCCATGATTGACATTTTTCTCTATTCTCATCACCTACCTGCTTGATATTGTACTGATATTGTAAGGAGAAATTCTGTCTTGCTCACTCATGGGAATTAAAGGGTAAAGAGCAGTAGTAGCCATAGCAAAGTGCACTGATTTGGCTGAGTAATAATGACCAATGTCTTCTGACTGGGTGATTTAATTACCTCTTGATTCTTTTGTGAGTTACATCATTTGCCAATTTGATTAGTTTAAATGGACCATCATCATCAAAACTGAGGTTGTCAGCTGTTTCATCAAATGCTACAGTAACAACTGTCTGGGAAACACGGCTTACAATTCCAGAGGCAATATCACTTGCTGCTTGATTGGAATTCAACCAACTAAGTCCCACTATGTCTCCTGAGTAAAGAGAATTCGAACATTACATCTATTTGATTCATTGTAGTGCGTTGTGGATTGTATCTTCATGAAAAAGTGGAGCTAGATTGTCCACCAGAACATCGAATAATTTGGGCCCAGGGCGAGCACGTTAATAGCTAACGATTGTAACTTTTCACTGCATCAGATAAAGAAACGATACTTGCCAGGTGTTAAAGAATGTGTCGGGAGTTTGCCATCAGAGCCAGGCTTATTTATCTCGAAGGTCAGAAGAAGTCGTCCATACAAGCCCGTCCTTCGGCTTCGGATACGAAGTTTCAACAGACAAACGCCCCTTCTTTGAAGCTCCTTTGGACTGACATTCTCTTGAAGAGATTTTGTCTCCTCGATTTCAGCTTTCCTTTCTAAACTTAGGAGAGAAATTGTCTTTACAACAAATTGAGACACGTCGACCGCCATTATGGCTCATTGTAGTGCAGCGAAAATGAAGTACAAATGAGTTGTTGGTGTAATCAGCTCCTCTGACAACTAACAATGCAGGCTCGACTATTTCCGGTTCTGTTGTTCTTTAATTACATTCAGTCCAGACATTTGAAATATTTTTTAAAGTTATTTTACATTATTTCATTGATAAGCTATATAACGACTTCAATGTTTGCAGAAATGAAGGGTAAGTAACCAAGCTTTTAAAACTGTCAGTCTTCCTAAAAATTTGGAAAATTTTCACATTGTTATTGAACACAAAATTTTAATCCTGTCTTGTGAGGATGTTATTGAGAGATAAGGGATATTTTCAGGGGGCTGAAAGCAGAGACTGATATTTTTTAAGTGAACCCATGAAAAGTTTTTACTAACAAACATGCACACTAACAAACAATTTTAACTGCAGAAATTTGGGCCATAGCGGTTTTGGATCTCTGAAAATGGCCTCGTTTTAACTAGGTTCCTTACGTTACTTTTCATGTCCTCCACATGCGTGTATAAGCCTGTCACCCTTAATAGAATTAATATGCCTAGCTAGGCTAAAAAATTATGTAGTGGATATCAATCTTACGATGCAAAGTGGATAATATACAGTGGATTAATAAGTGTTAGCGAGGAGCTCAATTCTTTTTGTAATTAACAATTAATTTTGTTTTCACAGCTTGCAGCCGTTTGATTTTGAATTCTGAAACAAAAAAAAGTATCCAAAGTGGGAAATATGAAAACATTTACATCAGTCCTTTCTGTTAGCTCTCCAGGAGGCGATTGCAACGTCTCTTTTTTCTAAAATGAGATAGTCTTAGTATTTAAATGGCATTTAATATTTGAATCAATTTAAATTCCCGTTGCATGGTACGCATGATTTGCTGCATAGTCATGCAAATTTCTCTTTTGCGTGACTCTAAAATTTGATTGGTTCAGCGTTCGCATCTGTTTTGGTGTCCAAGCATTTGATTGGCTAACGATTCAAACGCAGTTTGTTTGAATGATTTCTAAACTGTCGAGCTTCTTCGAATCAGTCATTTCCTTCAAGCGAATGTAAAGTTCGTTCTGTGAATGCTTACTTTGATCTATGATCAGTAATCTCGTGATTTGTTTTTTCACAATTACTAATCAGTTAAAAGAGCCGAAAGCGAAATTATTTCCTGTTTCTTTACACTGGTAGCCGAAAACAAGCTTGATAAGCGACCAACAACCTCGAGTAAAGATGCACAGGGCAACATCTAGGGAGAAGTTCAGTTCTGCAAAACTTCCTAAAGAACTGGATCAGTATATCGTAGATCCTACAACGAAAAAACGTTATCACCGCGGCCGTTTCCTTGGCAAGGTACATTCGGTTATATAAAAGTATAACCCCTAAGCAACGCGAGCACACGAAGGTTTGATCGCATGGTCAATCTTCAAATATCTTAAACACTTGTTGCTCTTCGTGATCTTTCAGGGAGGATTTGCAAAATGTTACGAACTCACCGATATGGAGACGAAGGAGATCTTGGCGGGAAAGATAATTTCAAAGACCATGTTGACGAAACCGCACCAAAAAGAAAAGGTGAGCAATTAAACTATGGACGCCGAAGTATGGACTAGTCGTTGTTCCGTTGTAACACTGAGCTTATCAACCTAAATTTGTTTAATTGAACTCTCGTTAAGCCTAATTCGCGATTCAATTTCTGTAGATGTCCATGGAAATTGCCATTCATCGTTCAGTGGGACAAAAGAAAAGTCTTGGCTCCCAGCCGCACAGACATATCGTTGGTTTTCGTGGATTCTTCGAAGACGATGACTATATTTATATTTTACTGGAGTTATGCAGAAGAAGGGTATGTAAGACTTTAGGAGGAAGCTGTGGAAGCTAAAATCTTGTCAGGGTTACGTATTTAAAGAATATTTTCACTTATCATCGTGATTTTCAAGACCTATTAAACTTTTTTTTTTTCGGTGTTAGAGACCGTTCGATCCGCCGCTCATCCATAAAATAATTTATGCAATCGAAGGCGAATATTTGAAATAAACGACGTCGATGTGCTGATAAACAGGACGCGCGAAAAGGCCATTTTTGGCGTTTACGATAAGAAAAGAGTAAGAAAATTGTGTGCGTGGCAAATTCTGCCTTAGAATCTATTGGAAATAGAATAGTCGATATTTTGAATATTTAATTTAGTTGAATCTTCCACGTATTTGTAAGTTTATACTAGAGCCTTTGTTCTTCGTTCAACGTTTTTACAACTCCACTGAATCGTTTTTAACAATCATTTTTTCCTGCTTATTGCTTTTTAAATCTACATTATATTTTGACACGCTGCCTCAATGGGAAATCAAAATTACTAAGCCGTAGGGTTTATTTTACTAGACGAACTTTAAAAGGAACTAAGTTCTTTTCCCGAGAAACACCTGTTGATACTCCTAACAGAGCTGAAACATAAATATTACATGAACAATGAATAATAAAAGAAATTTGATATTAATGATTTAGGGTAAAAAAAAAAAGAACCCTATGTGAGCTGGTAGTATAAAGATTTTTGTCTAAGTTAAATACACTTGTTAGTAATATCGTTTTCCTTCTTTTTTTGCCTTAGTGTAATTTTGATTCTTTAATTTATGCAAAGCGAGATTCACTTAAGATTAAAAAGGAAATTTGGCTGCATGTTCACCTGGCATTAGCAACAACAAAAAACACTAAAAATAAACATTAGCAAAAGTTTTCATAAGACTAGTGTATTAAATAGATTAAATTTTATATTAAGTCTCTGGTTTTGCCTCAAAAAAAAATAAGTGAAGGAGCTAAAATTAAGTTATTCGTTACAGGTATGCTCACTGAATTGATCTTGCCCGATACCAAAAAACTGCTGTATATTTTGTTTTCTTTTTGTTATTTCTGTAGAAGCATTCAGTACCCAACACTAAATATTTCATTCACTGTTCAGGTTTTCCTCTAATTTATAAGAAAAAATTTGTTGTGAAGCAATCTTGCCTTACTTGGCAAAGCATGCTGCATTTTGAATTAGTTTTATTTCAAAATATCTTTTTAGAAGTATGTTTTCATTTCCTTGGTGCATTAGGGAAATTAATGATTTGTTTTGTTAGTTATGGAGGTTTTGTGAACAATGAAGTTTTTTGAAGTATTTTATTGAAAACATCATGCATGGTTTGATGCGGTTTTATTGTCATGATGAAAATAAATTTATTTCAGAGATGAAAGAGTTTCAAGATAAAAATTTATGAGGTAAAATAAAGTCAGAAAAAGAGAAGTCTAAATGGATATTTAATTCTCTTCTTCCCCAGAAAGGTTATATTCACAAACCATGTATTGCATGAACACAGTTTTTGAACAATAAAATTTTTATTTAAAAGGGCAGAGTTGCCAACAGGAGCTGGTTTGCTGGCTTGTCTTCAATCTTTAGCCACCTTCTTTTCTCTCATTTCATCATAAACATTGATTTGTTTTTGAGTGCAATTGAATGTATAATTTACCGGTAACAGGTTTAGAAGTGTAAATTTATTCCCTTTTCAGAATTTGCTATAGAATTAGTGTAAACTTCATCAAAAAGTTGCAACAGTTTAGCAGAACAATTCAAAACATGGCTTCCATGATACCCTTGCCCTTTAGTATACCTTAATTACTCTCTACATCCAAACTAGTTGACAGACTGCATGTCCTGGAAGGGTTAAAGCTTATAGTCTGTTGTTTTGTGTATTTCAGTCCATGATGGAACTTCACAAACGTCGCAAAGCCTTGACTGAACCAGAAGTCAGATATTTCATGAAGCAGATTGTTGAGGGCACCAAATATCTTCATGACAATAAAATCATTCACCGTGATCTTAAGCTTGGAAATTTATTCCTGAATGATGATATGGATGTCAAGATTGGAGATTTTGGTCTGGCAACCAGAGTGGAGATTGATGGAGAAAGGAAAAAGTAAGATATTGGAGGAATATAAGCTTCCAGTACAGGAAAAAGATGGCTTTATGCTTAATAAATGAAAACATCTTGTGATGTAGAGCAAATGGGAAACATGCACAAAAATGTACAAATATGAGCTGTGAAAATTTAAGTTTCCCAATACATTTAGTTGCTGTTTTGCATGAAATTATATCATATGGTTGCCATGATTAAAAAATATTTAATTAATAGCCCTTTTGTATGACTGATGATGACTTCTGCTTGGAAATGTCAGTCACTGTGACCAAAAAAAAACAGTCTTTCTCAGGACTACACCTTCATCTGGATGATCAGACCACATGATCAGTTGTACTTTTGTTAAGTCCAATGAAGATCATATCGATTACAAGGGCTAAGGTGAATTGTTACATGATCAATCATGGTTTATGACCAAGTACTGAAATTCCAATTTCAAGATGGGATACATATATTTTCTTTTTGGAGTTTTTTCCTATTTTAATTTACTGATAATCTAACAGTTGGGCTTTCCTAAAAAATTGAGAACAATTCTTGAATTGTAACATGCAGCTGTGCAAAAGACGTAAAACTATGTATTAACAGCTAGCTTTATTACTTTTGTTTGACTGTGCCATGTACAAAAAGCAGCTGTGCAAAAGACTGATGCAATGACAGCTTGCTTTATTACTTTTTTATGACTATAAAACATATACCTTTATTTTATTGAACATCAAAAGAGTATACTTATAAATTAATCTTTTTTCTCAGAACTCTTTGTGGAACTCCAAACTACATTGCTCCCGAAGTGCTCAATAAGAAAGGACACAGTTTTGAGGTGGACGTCTGGTCATTGGGATGTATCTTGTAAGTTCAGTGGGGCCAATTCTCACAGTGGTTGAAAAATGTGTATGACCTCTATAATTTTTACTTCAAATTTTTTTGAAACTGTTTTTTTAGGACCCTGATTGAAAATGGCATAATATTTATAAATACAAGACTAACAGACTCTTATGATAATTACAGGTACACTCTTCTTGTTGGAAAGCCACCCTTTGAGACCTCTTCCTTGAAGGATACATACCAGCGTATCAAAAGAAATGAATACTACATTCCTTCTAAAGTTTCTCACTCTGCACAGCTTTTGATTATTAAGCTTTTACGACCAGATCC